TATGCCGTCACACGGCGATGGGCAGAACCCAGACCGTGTGCGGCTCAGTGGAACCCTCTGCGTACAGTTCATTAGCTACAGGAGTACTGTTGTTACAGTCCCGTCTTCCCTTCTGTGGGCTCACTCGTCCCCGTTTGCGCAGCCTTTCCTCGCACACCCGGTTTCCTCCGCTTCCAGGCGTTTCCTTTGCTGATATCTAAACAATGTCTCCACTGGGCCACTTTTTTGCTGGCAGTGTTGTGCTCCAAAAACTGTGTAATTTAGGGACTCGCAGGTGTCCTCCGATCTGCTGACCATACAGCTTTCCCCAGTCTGCATCGCCTCTGCTGCTGGCGCAGGAGAGTTACGGGGATCTGTGGTTCTTCTTGTCACCGGCTAGGGTGAGAGGGCTCGGAAATGCAGCGCCCTGCAGCGAGAAGCGGGAGCGCTAAGAGCACAAGAAGGATAGGGATCAACAGGAGCAAAACGGAGCGATAAAATCTGGTACCTCAAAGGAGCTCATCAGCTGAAATTTTGCTTACCAGTAAAACTTGCAGGAACAGTTTAGCTACCCAGTAAATCCTGATGGAGACGCACGAACCCTAAGGTTTTATCTGCAAAAGTGGGATGCAGTCCGGTGTCACAACCACAGGCTGCTTTTCAAGCCCATCTAAATGTGAGGCTGCTACAAAGGAGAAAGCCAGCTCTGAAGGGCTTTGCTCTTTATTATCTCAAGGGTTGCAGTGTTCATTTTCACACAGTTTAGTTACTACATCAGAACCTCCAGTGGAAAATACCCATCTGTGAAATCGCACTGATTCTCCTGTTCTGGGATTACTCCACCGAAATGCGACTGAGTCAGGCTGGTTCTGAGCTGTGCACTTTAACGGCAGCCCTTGTGCTCCGTTTGGGATGGAGCATCAATGCTTCGAGCTCGGATCCCCCCGCGGCCCCCCGCAGCCCCAGCTTGGCCGTCGGGCTGGGAGGATGCTGTGCCCGTGCCGGCCGCAGCCAGGCGGAGGTCTGGCTGTGCGAGCTTGGTACCCGGCTCTGCTGCAGGTTCCCTCTGCGGCTTTGGTGGCCGGTCCCGCAGTGCACAGATGGCCCATTGGTGTCTGTCGGCGTAGGAGAGGGTAGGCGGCATCCCGGTGTTCCTGTGTGGAAAATTTCACCTGTGTTCATGAAATAGGATAAGGACGTCGTCCACCGTAAGTTGCCTTTTGATCTGGGGCATTTTCCTTCACCCATGTACAACCCAATCTAAGCTCCATCCCAGAGGGGTTTCTTAGAGAGTAAAAGCTGCTTTACAAGCAAATTCCGCTTATGACAGTCGTGAGGCATCATCATTCATCTTACGTCATCGTACGCAGGGTTGTACCATGCTCCAAGGGTTCTCCCAGTAAATAATGTATGAATGCAGCTAAGGAAAACTGTCCTTCTGCCATCTGTGCTGTAGTCCAGAACCTGCCTAACTCTTGTCTGCATTATAAAAGGAAAGAGAAATGAAAACAAATTCATGTGTGTATTCTCCAGTCAGAAGATCATCATACGAATATGTTACCAACTTCTCCCTTCCCAGGCGTAAATGAATGAAAAAGCAACTCTTTCCTGAACCAGTAAATTCCCCCAACCAGTAATTTTTTTCTCCTGATCTAGTGAGCTCCTTGGGAGTAGCGGTTTTTTTCATTATTATTATTATGGTAAACTGCTCCAGGAACAGTTTCAACAAAAGAAGTAAACCTTACATTGTATTCAGATAATGTTCTTAACTTCTCAACAAGATTTACTAAATTGCACCCTGGGAATTATGCAAATGAAACCTTTGGTCAAAATGTTACAGGATTACTGTAAAAAAGAAATCTTTTTTTTAAATCTCATTAAGAGTGCTAAAATTACACGTTCCAATATAAAAAGCACGTGCCTTTGTGCGATGAATATCTCCCTGGTAGTGATACGTACTATGCTTCATTGTCAGTGGTCTTTGCAACTTTCTGTGACAAGTGCTACTTCTTACGTGATTTTCTCAAAACACTTCTAAACAGATCCTTGTATTCTTACTGGAAATGGAATTAAATACAGGTAACAGGCAAACCATTGTTGTATGATGGCAATTAACAACAAATAATGAGTCACTGCTGAAGATTTGCAACGTATTTCCCCATCTTTGTTTTGCTCTATGCAGTATAATTAGCTCATGGATTTTTCATAGTATAATTGGGTAAGTCATATGGGTCTTATGATATATTTCATCTCCTAGATCTGCAGTGATTTACATACAGACAGCTTAGACCCTATTAATGCTAATAAAAGTGCTGCAAGGACATCCTATAGCATACACTTTATTAAACAGTACATAGCTTTCTTAGAGAGCTTCTATTTATCTGCATTTCCTGAAAATAAAATATAGCGCCTTGAGCAGTGAATATTTAAATCCAGTCTCCTTTTCCCTGTTTCTGTCGCTCCCTATGCATTTCTAATGCCTCTGTCACAGTGGGATCTGGGTCCCATATGCAACAGGAAATAGAGCAGAAAAATGTCCACGAAGAACTCACAGACTCTCCCCTTCCATGGTTCGGGTTAAAATTGCTTCTGGTGTGGTTCCGGTTTGCCGTTCGGTGCTGTGCTGATGTTACGGCCGTAGTTGAGCCGGGCTGGGGCTGGGGACGCCCTGCGGGCTCTGCGCTTCTGTGAGCAGGAAGGCAGGAAAAGGGCAGATACCTTGGGTTTATTGGTGGGGTTATTTTTCTGCCTTTGTTAAGGAAAAATTTTTAGGGTGAAGAGCTGGTTAGATCCTGACACTTTACAGGTCCTGCGGAGCTGTGCACACACATCGATAGAGGGACACACGGCTGTGCATCCCGCGGTACCCTTCTTCGTTTCTAAGGTGGACGCCACAGTGGCTCACAGCCGGAGGTCCAGCCGTGGCTCCCGACATTCTCACTGCCCCTAAGCCCAGCTGTGACCGCGGACGTAGTCGGTTGGAGCGTGAACTCCCTGACTGGAGTTACACATTTGCACAGACATTCACATCAATTCCATTTTCAGCCCTTCTGCCTGCCAGGGCGAAAGCTGACGTTCTAAAAATGGGGGCTGTGGCCTTCAGTTATTGAACCGTTGTGTCATTGCCATCATTAAAACCACAGTTGTGTGAGCAAAGCTTGATTTTAATGTAGGCTTTTTCACCCACAGATTTGCTAATGAAAATTGGATTCATACCTGTCTGCTTGGGCCCCTATTGCAGACACCCACTGGGCACACAAAAACCCGCGTAAACCGTTGTGTGCAGCATGAGGACACTTCCACAATGTCCCCGGTACCTCTTTTTAAGTGATTATACCGGTGTCAGTCCAATCAGTTTTCTGTGGTGCTAATAGCCTAAAGAAGCAGTGAATCCTGTAGAGAAAAGACAGATGAAACTGTCTGTGTTCCCTGACCTTCAGCTCCAGAAGTGTAGGTGCAGCACGAATCAATCCCGGCAGTGTCTAGTAATAACTGACATTATTAGCCGTTAACAGGAGCAGACGATTTGGTGGAGTCGGTACAAAGAAAACAGTGTACAAACTTGGTAATGATCTGGACAAAGGCATCAGAGGAGATTGTCGGAGCCAGGGAATCTGATATTATTCTGCACCGACACGTTCAGCATCTTGTCAGCCTCCCGCGTCACGGGAGGAAGAAATAGCGGCAGGTCAGATGCAGGAGGAGCGCGAGAGCAGCCCACAGCCCCGTCCCATTCCCTTTGCCTGACAAGCAAAGCCTCCTCTTCCCTCGGGAGCCCACCTTCGCTCCCCAAATCGGGGCTGTTTGGGGGGCGCGGGGGCCTCCTGCATCCCACTGAGCCCGCTCAGGCTCTTC